ACTTTAACAAAAGTGCTTTCCACTTTTCAGTATAATATTATATAATATTTCAGTTATATTATGGAAATTCTTTCTGTCCCATTAATGCATTCCCAGTTCTTAGAACAGCACCAAGTACACATTAGGTACTCAGTAAATATTTGATGAATGAACTGAGTGTTTTTAAAATCTGTTAGACTCTCATCGAGACCCAAGAACATCAAATAGGTTATCTTTATGTTTGTAGAGTATCACTTCCTGCCGGTATTGACAGTGTGTCTCCCGGACATCACCTTACTTTGCAGCTCAAGTCCTCTTCATTGCACCACGATTTCAAACATAAAATTTACAATAGTCAATTTCTAAAAATGGATGATATTAATTTTCTTCTATAAGGGAACATAGGTGGTTCATGTCACTTTATATTTATTAGCATCTATTCATAAATGAAAGCACAAGAGGTTTTCATTTAGAAAATGAAACTGATTACAGTCTAGGAGAAATGCGCTAGATGGGCCCTCTAGTGGCCTTGAGGAGCTAACACTTTCCAAAATACCTAGCTTTCCTAAGGAATCCACAATTAATAAATATTTATATGTGGAATATAAAGAACTAATGAACAAACAAAATAGAAACAGACTCATAGATACGGTTGGGGAGCTTGGTGAAAAAGGAGAAGGGATTAAAAAGTACCGATTGGTAATTACAAAATAGTCACAGGGTTGTAAAGTACAGCATAGGAAATATAGTTATTAATATTGTAATAACTGTGTTTGGTGCCAGGTGGGTACTTAAAATATCAAGGGACTTTATAAAGTATATAACTGCCTAACCACCATGCTGAACACCTGAAACTAATATAAAATAATATTGAATGTCAACTGCAATTGAAAACAATATTTTTTTAAACAACTAGTAAACACAGTCCTTCCAAAGCTGTAGATTCCGGGAAAAACACACCTGGCTGCACAGATACTGAAATGACTTCTCCACAAGACTGCACAGTAACTAGAGAGAAAAGAACAAAGCAGCGTGTGTCGCAAGGCGAGATGTGAAACATTGCCTCATGGCAATAACTGAGGAACTGGTGCAATGGAATCCTGTGCTCCCTTCTTCCCTCATAGCTGCCTTCTTATGATGCCCCTAGTACCCCCACTTTTCCTGAAAATGCACATGTTCCTGTGTGTGCACCATATCCCACAGGGACTGCAGTGCCTCACATGCACTGGGCCCGGAGCAAGGTACTAAGGAAGCTTCACATCATTGGTATAAATATTTGGACATTACAATCAAGCTAACAAACTGTTAAGTAAAATATCTTCTACCCTCCTAGTGTGATAAATATGCTCCTATGGCAATATAATTCTTAAAACTTTGTGTAAAGCTATAATTGTTATATGACCAGATATAAACAAAATTCCACAGGCAACTAAACGTCAATATTATTGCACATCTGAGTATTCTGGGATGGACCAGAATTGTTTGGATGAATATCAATAGAGACATCCCTAAGATATGCATTTTAATTATTCTGTAACAATTCGTTCTTCTTCCTACGCTCTAGCAAAATCATGAATCATGCTGATATCACCTAGATTGTCACACAATTTGTGTTCTATTGATAGTAATGTCAAATTAAATGACTTTTCATAACTCACTCTTAGATAGGTTCTTACTCTTTGCAATTTGGAAAAAATGTCCTTGTGTGGAAGCCATAGCTACAAGGAATCATCAACGAAAATATTAAGGAAATACGTGGACTCAGAAATGATCCATAAATTTTACATCCCATGTTTGATCATTGTAATGGGGTCACCTGGGTTAAATTATATAATCTAAAATATTAAAAAATATTTTAATTGTTTTATTAAAATCACTTATAGCACAATACTTACTGTCTCTTAAAGTTATATTTAGACCCTTGTGGTATTCCTTAATTTCTATTTCTTTGAATCTTTTAATGCAATATAATGAGAAAACTGAAAATAATTGTATTTTGCTCAATTTGTTTAAATTTCTCTTCATTTAAGACTATATCTTCAACCAAAATGGCTGGAAGATAATCCCCATAGGAAATTAGTGTCAGGACTGCTTATATGGCTCATCTCAGGGCCTGGTACATGGTCGTCATTCTGGTACCCACCTTCTCTGCCTTCAGTTTGACTTCTTATTCCCGGAAGTATATTCCCAGAACCCAAGTTTCATTCCACCCTCTCACTAGATTGGTAGTTTACCTATGTATACAATTCCAAGAATCCATGCACCGAGCCTCTAGTGTGTAGTTGTTTCTATTCAGAATATTAAAGAAATTGTGTCACTGGCCTCTCGCATTGATGTCAGGAAGTACAATTTAGCTTCCAGATCCCTCATATGTGACCTGCTTGATTATTCTCAAAACTTTTAGAACATTCTTTTCCCAGATATTTACATGGCTGGCTCTTTTTCATTATCCAGTTTTCCACTGACCTCTTAAGGGACCTTTCTTCCTTTTTTAATATGTTTTTATTTATTTCAGAGAGGAAGGGGGAGGGAGAAACATCAAAAAGGAGAGAGAATCATTGATTTGTTGCCTCCTGCATACCCTGCACTGGGAATCTAACCTGCAACCAGGGCACATGCCCTGATTGAAATAGAACTGATTGCTGGGTTCATAGGACGGCACTCTAGCACTGAGCCACATTGGCTGGACTCAAGAGACCTTTCTTGATCAGGCAATCAAACAAGCTCCCACATGTCACTCCCACATCATCAAGTTTTATTTTCATCCAAGTATTTATTGCTAACTGATATATTCTTGTTTTGCACTTTTCTATACTGTTTTTTTTTCAGCTAAGTAAACTATAAGCTACACAAGAATTTGTTCACTTCTGAATCCCCAATGCCTAGGATAGTGAGGAGATATCAATAAATGTTTACTGAATCAATGAATGAAAGCCTGTAAACTAGCACTACAAACAGAAGTAGAGTAAGAGTGGCCTTTTGATTGACATTCCTAAATTATGTAAAACAGGATCATGTCTAGGACCCCAACTTTGTCACATTTGCTGCAAACATGTCTTCTGACCATAGTGAATTATAAACCAGGAGCCCTAAAACTTAAAACTAAAATCATACTGGAAATATCAAGGGAACACTATATAAAGTATATGATGGTCTAACCATAAGCAGTAGACCTGAAACCAATACAAAATAAAATTGGAGCGGGGGGGGGGGGGGGAGGAGATTTTTTTTTTTAAAGATTTGGCCTCAGACAGCAATTCTCTGGGGCCAAATTATTTTCTTTCCCCTACAAAAAATTAATATTTATGAAGTTAAGAGTCAATGTTATCTTGGTTCCAGTAGAGCAGTGACATGAAGAATACAATTCGGCATGGTATGTAAGAGTACAGCCTTCAACATCAGAGGACCTCAGTCCTAATCCAAGCTTGGCCATTTAGGATCTGTGTGTTCTTGCATTTGTTATTTAAACTCTCTAAGCCATAGTCTCCTAATTATAACACTACTTGTCTCCTTGGCTATTGTGAGAAAAAATGATATCATTCACCTAAAATTTAGGTGTGGTCCTTGAGCACTTAATAAATGTTAGTTGTAATTATTATAAGAAATCATCTATTTGAACATTTCCATATTCTTTGCAAAATCTTGGCTAAAAGCATCCTTCATTACATTGCATGAAATTATTTTCTCTCACAAACTGCCTCTTCTAATGCACTTGAGATTTTCCTTAAGCAGTTGGAGAAGTACATGACTAACCATGTTGTCTTTCCAGAAGGAAATTCAGGTCATTTTCCATAATGACCTTTTCAGATATCTTTTTTCTAACTTTTTCTCCCTTGGCTGGCTTTCTTTTGATTTTACTTTTTAAATTGTGATCTTTTGTATTGCTTTTAACTTTGTAGCTTGTGAATCTGTCATTTATGAGCTGAATGACCCTGGAGAGGTTATTTAACATCTAGAGCTTCACTTTCTTAGTCTGTCAAATGAGAATTGTTGTGGGTACCAATGACACTATCACCCCAGCGTCCTTTTCAATACTCACTCCTCTACAGCATCCATATTCCCTGGGGGCCATATACGGGGCCCAACCCTCTAAGCACGTGGATGAGTCTAGTAGTAGACATCTAATGCAACTGAATCAAGAAGACCCTTGCCAGGAATTCTGTATTTAAGACTGAAAGAGTCAGGTCAATTTCCTTTTGTGGCTGAAACTGTAAGACATAAATCTCAGGAGTTGCTAGTGTCTGCGCTTCACACTTATTTGGGAGTTGGTACATAGTGAAGAAGAGCATGCAAAGAGGAGAAGAAGAGGGGGTCATGATAGTTCTCATGGTCCCTAGGCTCTTGCTTTTCCTATAGTTGGGCTATTCCATTAGACATCCCGCTATCTTTCCAATAAATTCTCCTTTTGGCATACATAATTAGGATTTGATTCCCATCACTTGAAACTGAAATATTCCTAATATAAAGAAAACAAACCCTATTTTGAATAGGTATTATAGGAAGTAAATGAGATAAAATATTTAAGTGCCTAGCATGTAACCTGGCATATAATATTTGTTCAAGCAATAACACCTATTGACATTATTTAGAAGATGGGAATACAAATTCTAAGTCGATTTAATTACTGAAAATAATTTTAATAGCTTACACATCTTCTTTCTTCTTACAGTTTCAAAATCACTCAAAGGTATTACTTGATTTCAAATACGGAAAGAATTGCAAAATAAGAGAAATGCTTTGATTCATGTTGCTACATATTATTGTATAAGTCAAAGTGATTTTTACATAGTTAAACAATCTTAGAGAATAGTGAAGCCTCCGTGTCTTGCTTAACTCACTTGCTTCGAGTAAACATAGGGAGGGAAAGGGGAAGATAATGCAGACTTACCTTTAATTATCCCACATATACAGGAGTAAATCTGACCCATTTAAACGTACAAAATACTGACACGGTTGTATTCACAACAATCATCACATAGTGTAAAGGATCAGTGAGTAAAGAGAAAATGGAATTCCCATACCTGTAGAGATACCACACTGACATTATCAAAATGGATGTGTCCATTAGGCTCTGTGACAGCTGGGTTGGCATAGCATGTCACGCCATTGATGGCAGGTAATGTTTTAGGTTGAGGAGTTTTTTCTGGAGAAGGGCCAAAGTCATCATTTCTAAAGTGGGCATGATCATTCTACATGGAAAAATTAAAAAAGTAAAAAGGGGTTATAAGAAGAAAAAAGATGGCTCATATAAACAAGAAAATAGAGGTCAGTGCTTTTTATCCACAAAAGAGCATTGTTATGTCTATTCTGTGTGTACCCTAACCTTTTTAGATTTTTAAGATTTCTCTACCTTTAAAAATATCCTCATTTATTAGAGTCTGTTGTGTCTGTTTTCTCATGTTAGAGCATATATGCCTTCTTATTCTGTTGAATATGAATAGAATACATCTGTTATTCAACATTAAATTATTAGTACTAACTTCAAATTCTACAATATAAACCAAGTGTGTCTCTTATACTTATCAATATATTGACTCTTTTCTTTGTCCTCACATTCACAAATCTAATACATGAACAGTTCATAAAATTCTAGGAATAAAATTTCTTCCTTTATTCGCCTTTATAAATTAGCTTTGGCAGGTATAATAGCAAAAGTTTTAAATAAAGTCCATTTACCTGACCATATGTCTTTAATAACATCTTAAGCATCCTTTCAAAAAAGAAAAGTAAATAAAAGCCACCAAATACAGCAACAGCCTTTTCAACATAGTTGTCAGTTTTAGGATTGAATCCAAATGCCTGGGGAGAAAAAAAAAGGCAAATCAGGTAAAATCAAGTAATATTACTTGATTTCTAGCAAATGATACTAAAATTTCTCAGTATTCAATTTTCACTGTAGTTCTATGCCCATCTTCACATCCAGGTGATATTGAGAACTTACCTGCCAAAATCACAAAACCAAAATTCAAGTAAGCAAACTGTAAGAGATGTTTTAGAAACCTCATAACCAGCGGATGCTCCGGTAAACAAAACCTGAGTATCTTGTTTTCTAGCTCCAACACCTGCAGTAATAAGTGCCTTGAAAGAGGAAACTTTAGTGGTAAAGAAGCAGCACTAAATCCCACATCTATAAGGTAGCATTAGATCTAGGTAATAAGGATACCAGTAAATGAAACATTATTTGCTTTCTCTAAAAAAAAATATGTGTCTATCGTATCCAGAGTCAAATATTTTTATATTTTTTAATTGATTTCAGAGAGGAAAGGAGAGGGAGAGAGAGAAACATCAATGATGAGAGAAATCATTGATTGGCTGCCTCCTGCATGTCCTCCCACTGGGGACTGAGCCCACAACCCAGGCATGTGCCCTTCACCGGAATCGAACCTGGGATGCTTCAGTCTGCAGGCTGATGCTCTATCCACTGAGCCAAACCAGCTAGGGCCAACGTCAAATTTTTAAAGCAATATGGCAAGCCACTTGGATTACTGTTTTCCCACAGGAGAGCCTCTTGAACCTAGAGGATCCTAATAAGACCTAATGAAATTCAATAAATTAAGAATTGGGCCCAAGAATAAAGAAGAAAAGATTTAAGATACCAGGCAAGCACGTGCACACGTGCGCGTGGGATGCACACACACACACACACACACACACGGATGAGTATGAGAATTTATTGTTTAAAGAACATAGGACAAGAATTGGAGTTTGAAATTATAAAGAGTAAAGATATTTCTAACAGACAAGAAACACAAGCTTAAAATAAATAAAATAAGAGGAGAAAGCTTTACACCATTCCAGACATTGTAAATCTTCCCTCTGAAGAGCAACCAGAATAGAGGATGCCTTGGTTCTTGTTCTATGCCTGCCTCTGGGAAGAGCTCACAGCCACATCTTCATTAGATTGACTTCTCTATGCTTATTTATACAGTGCAAAAACTGGCACAAAGACACCTACTCTACATATGTAACACAGAGGTTATGAAAACCAAATGAAGTAAGAAAAGGGAAAGAATTTTGCCAAAAGAAGAAATAACTATCTGTGGAAATTTGAGGTAATATTACAAAGATAGATTATCGAGTGCTTATATAATTTTCTTTTTACAGCCATAATTACTTAATTATCACCTACAGGCAAAAGGACATCCACAAATGCTGTTGAAGGAGTTTCTTATTTTCCTAAGACATTTCTTATGTATTACTACATTTTCAATAAAATAGAAAAACCTCAAAAATCATAAATGTGGAATCCCCAGTCCATACACAATATCAGTTTTTAAATTTAATTTGATCCAAATTTCAGATAAGTTAATATATACACATATATTATATTGTATTAAATATATTGCATGTATAATGTTACACATAAAATTATTCATTAGAAAATCTGTATTGTCATACTAGTTTTGTTGCTAGCTGATTGTATCTCTAGTTGAGATGACCTTTCTAGTTCCTTTCTAGATATAATGACAACAATAACAACAATCATAAGTCTATGACTCTAAGAAAATCCCCAATTTCATATATAGCTATGAAAATTAAAAGAAGCTTTAGTTATAATTTTCTAAAAATTATGAGATGAGAATAATACCCTGAACTACTATTATTCTCTTTGCTCAGGACTCGCCCACCCATCTTTGTGTGTGCATTGGGGGTGGAGGAGATACAGTCCATCTATGTATATAAAACCCTAAGCGACTGGTCCACCATTTGACTGGTCGCTATGACACACGTTGACCACCAAGGGGAAGATGCTCAATGCAGGAGCTGCCCCCTGGTGGTCAGTGCGTTCCCACAGTGGGAGCGCCACTCACCTGACTGATAGGTGACTCCTGGCTCATAGCTGGTGAGGTGCAAGCCTCTCCGCCTCTCCTGCCTCTGTGGCAGTGCTATCAGGTGGCGGCAGCAGGAGCAGCGGGGCGGATTGAGCAGGATTGAGCCCAGCCCCGGCTCGGGCTCCTCCCCGGTCGCCTGCTGCTTCACGCACTACTACATCCCTCAGGGGATATCAGACTGCCAGTTTTGGCCTGATCCCTGCAGGCCAAAACCAGCAGTCCAGTATTCCCCAAGGGATCCTGGATTGTGAGAGGGCACAGGCCAGGCTGAGGGACCCCACCAATGCACGAATCCATGCACCCGGCCTCTAGTGTGTATATATTTCCCTAGCTCCCCTTCCTCCTACTAATGTCTCTTTCTCTTTCCCCTCTCTTCCCTCTCAATTATCTTCCTTCCTCTTTCTTCCTTATACTGGCTGGCCATAATATAGATATAAAATAAAACATATATGTTATGTGTTGATTAACTGAATAATGCACTCTTGTCAATGTCAGATCAATAATACATCTTATGAAAAGGAAAAAATAAGCTGCTGTTTATTCATTGACCTCAATTGATTTTTTTCCACAGTCAAAAGAAAATTAAAAGGTCTGTCAACCACACTCTTATTGATCCTCTGGTCTTCAGTAACCGTAGTAAATATATAAGAAAATCTTATGGTATAGCTTCAGTAAATTTGACATTGCATGCTCTTTAGATAAATAAATAAATAATTGAAGTATTAGAGAAATTAAATTTTCCAAATGCAGGATAGAATAAAATGTTAAGACCCTATCTGAGCACATCCTGGTGGCTGGTCTCCAGGAATATTAATTTTATCTCTGACATTGACATTCCCTGAAGCTTGAGACATGCTTTTTTCATTTGCTGTGATTCCGCTCTTTTATTCAAAACACCATAAACCAGACCATAAAATTCTGTGAGAATCATGGAGGTTTAAAATGTACAAAGTGCTAAAACATTTTAAAGAAACAATTATTCACAGAAACAGGTAGCTAACACCCTTACCTCTGGAATAAGTTGGAAAATTGCATTTGAAAATAGAGTCCCAATAGCCAGCCCCACAAAATAGGTCAAAATCTTGGGGAAATAAGATTTCTTTATCAACGGAGTCAAAACCAATCCGAGGAGAGATGCCAGATTAATGATTGTCACTGACAGGAATCCATATCCCCATACTGTGAATAAGAGGGAAAGAGGAGCAATTAATCAGAGCAAAGGAGCCAAATGAAGACTTACTCTCCATTAAACCTGAAACATATTTCTTCTTTAAAAGCTTGAGACCGATTTCTTCTTATAAAGAACAAAATCATCTCAATGAAAATTATACAGAAAATTGAGACCACATAGCATAATAAATATTAATAGAAACACTGCCTATGCTTTCATCAGTCTTAAGTCATCATTACAGGATCAAAGAATTGTATAGCTTGCAGACAATTTGCATAAGACCTAGAATAGTGACCATCTGAGGTCCACAGGCTTCAAGCCACCTACTTTTATCTATTGGTTCATGGCCTAGTTAAAACTCAGCCTTTCAGAGGAATATAGAGGTCATGTGAGTTTCAGGGGAAAGGTATGGTAGCTTTGCCTGTAGCCCACACACACTGTGCAGAGACAATGTGAAAGATTAGAAAGCTGCCTCTACGTTGCCACTTCTTTGTCCAGAATACATTTTTAAACCATGGGCCACTTTTCTCATGGACACTATCAGTTGAGTAGCATAGTAACACTTAATGCTTAGTGAGTGTTCACCATGTGTCAGGCACTGTGCTGAGCGACTAACATGTATTAATTCATTTGATCCTCACAAAACCCTATGAGGTAAGTACTACTATTATCTCTTCCATACCGTTGAAACCAAAGCATAAGGAGTTCAAATGAGCTGCCCAAGTCATGCAGATCGAAAATCCTGCAGATTTCAAACCCAGACAGTTTGTCTCCAGGGCCCACATTTTTTTGCAATATGTTTCATTATTCCTGTGGCAGTAAATTAATTTTTAAAAAGCCCAAGGGGCTCAACAGAACTAAACATTTTATAATATGCTTTATGAATGTAAGACTTTCACCATTATTCTGGTTCAAGCGAGTCTATCTATAAATAAGCAATCTTAGCAAATGTTTATGGAGCCTAGGATGCAAACCATGATTCCTACCAACAAGCAGCTTGGATCTTTTGCTTGGGGAGCTGAGAAATGTGAAGAAACACCCATGTGCAAAGCAATACAAGGTAGCCTGTTCTGAGTACCAAATGAAAAGAACAGGTCATAAATGTTACTATGTCATCACAAGAATCATCACAGCACTAACCATGACTTTATCTTCTCCACTTTCCTATCAGTTCAAAACTCCCGACCGTGTCCTACAAAGTCATCTCATTGGACCTACAAAGGTCCACCTCATTCCCATTTACTATCTTATCACCTCAAACAGCAATATCTACTCTCCTCAGACTTTCCACATAGACAAAGTTCTCAATGCCACATCCTCCTCCATGATATATCTGTGTAGTTTCCCTTCATATGAATAGCTTTCTATCTCATCACTAGCCTACATTCATTTACTCATTCAATCGATATTTATAATCTCATTGGGTAGACAAGATGCATACCTGTTGAAACTAAAATTAAAATGCGAAGATGTTTTTGAGTACCAAATAGAGGCAAAGCCACATACACATATTAAACTCATCATCTGCCCCTGAGAAATCCTGCTCCCCTACCCTTGTTCACTACCTCCTTAAATAGCAGAAATGTTGGGATCAATTTCAATTGCTCACTCCACTACTCAATTCCATACATGATTGGTGATCAAACTCTATCAATTCTGCTTGAGATCTCTCACTCCAGCTTCTCCATCTTCATTACCGATACCTTGAGTTCAGGCCCTCACCATCTCTAACTCCTTCATCTAATGCATTATGACAGTTTTCTGTCTGCCCTTCCTCCCCTACTTGACATGACCACCTGACTCATAATTCTAAAACACAACTCTAATCACCTCATACCCTTATTTGACACTGCCCTTCATCAACTGAATCCCATAGAGCCTCACTGGTGTTATTTACACCCTTATCAACATGCCTTTATGCAGACACAATGTTTTCCAAATACAGAATTACCTTTACTTGTGGTTCTCTATCTGGAAATATGTTTTTATCTTCATTGCGTGAGAAACTCACACATGGTTCTCCAAGCCAATTCAAAGACCTCCTCTATAAAGCTTCCCTAGCTCCTCCAGGCTTCAGTGCCTTACTTGTCAAGCTTCCTATAGTTCTTTGAAGATAATTGGGCCACTTACCATTTCTTGTGTGCGATAGTGATTTTATCATTTACATATTTGTCTATGTTATATAAATTATGAGATTTTCAAGGAGGGGGCTATGTTATATTCACCTTCAGTGCTTAGCAAATAACACAAATTCCTTGAAAAATGAATTAATGAAACCTATACTTTAAAATGCAGCCCAGAACTCTGTCAAAAAATATCAATTCGCCCTAACCGGTTTGGCTCAGTGGATAGAGCGTCGGCCTGTGGACTCAAGGGTCCCAGGTTCGATTCCGGACAAGGGCATGTACCTTGGTTGCAGGCACATCCCCAGTGGGGAGTGTGCAGGAGGCAGCTGGTCGATGTTTCTCTCTCATCGATGTTTCTAACTCTCTATCCCTCTCCCTTTCTCTCTGTGAAAAATCAATAAAATATATTAAAAAAATATATCAATTCATCTGTTTATTAATCTTTCTAACTTTCCTTAATATTGTGCATGTTTATCAGAACCACTTGGGGAACTTTGGGAGTGTGAATCACCACTCTTTTAGGCACACTACTTAGTTTCCCCTCCTTTCATTGTTAGGACATTACTGGGGGCCAGGGGGAGGGAAATCCATCATCCACTCAACTAGGGCATCAAAGAATGAATTAGTGTAAAAATATTCTTTGGATCTCTCCATATACAAATAGGACTTCCTCTAATGATCTGTTTCAGACTTTCTGATTCTTAGTGAATGTGGAAAAATTTTAATACATTTCCAGGGAATATTAGTAACAATACTTAACATTTATCGAATGCCAATATGTGTGAAAATTCTTCTAAAAACTTTACCTATTTTTTTAATTTTTCTATTTAATAGATTATTTTTTATATGAATAACATAAAGCCAGTTACACATAGCCCCTGGAATACAGTCAAGTCTTCAATAAATGTTATCATTATTTTTTAAAAAATAGTAAGTAGACCAGCATATAAATTTTAGTTCCATTAGCTCACTGTTGTACAGTGAAAGAACCACAGACTAGGAGTTAGGAGCCCTGGACTTGCATCCTTCCTCAGGTACTGTCCCTAAAGAAAGCCTTTAATCTCTCTGGAGCTTGAGACTTATGTCATCGGGTTGCACTATGCAGTTCTGGGCTATGTGATCTCCAGGGATGCTACAACTAAAATTCCATTATTATTATCTATTATTTAAGTTAAATAGCGTTATATAACTTCATCAAAAAATTAGACAATTTTGGACCATTAAATGATTGTTAAAATTTATATCACCTAGAGAATTTAATTTACCATCCATTTGTTTTACTCATCCATTTTATGACTTTGAAGTGTTGTCCTTAGAATTCTCTCATTTCGTGTCCCCACTGCCTATTCCTACCTCCTGGTTCCTAAGATATAGTAAACCTGAGAATTGAAGTTACAAACACTTTTGAACATCAGAAATTAACCTTCACAGAGTAGAGGATTTGCTTTTACTAAAGCCTCACCTCCTGTACTCACAATTATGTCTGTTATACCTATTTTATTTAGCAGACATATATATAGTGCCTAACCACATGCCAGATAGCATTCTAAATGCTTTGCCAATATTAAGTTAGAAAATTACAGAGCTGGGATTTGACCTCAGATGGGCTGACTTCAGAATCTATGCCTTTACTATGCTGTACAATCTATACTGAAATTAAACAGATTTATGGGAATACAAACATACTCCCATTTAGTATATATTCTATTAAAAGTATGTGTTTGAACAATTAGCTCTAAAATTATTGTTATTCACAAAAAATGATAATTGTGTTGACAAAGTATACTTAGTGATTTCTATTCCTTATATATGTAAACATAGAATATAAAAGACAATGTGGCCCAAGCCAGTTTGGCTCAGTGGATAGAGTGTCAGCCTGCAGACTCAAGGGTCCCAGGTTTGATTCGGACAAGGGCATGTACCTTGGTTGCGGGCACATCCCCAGTAGGGAGTGTGCAGGAGGCAGCTGATCGATGTTTCTCTCTCATCGATGTTTCTAACTCTCTATCCCTCTCCCTTCCTCTCTGTAAAAAATCAATAAAATATAAAAAATAAATAAATAAATAAATAAAAAATAAAAGACAATGTGGACCCAGCCAGTGTGACTCAGTGGTTGAACGTCACCTATGAACCAGGAGGTCACAGTTCAATTCCTGTTCAAGGTACATACCCGGATTATGGGCTCAATCCCCAGTAGGGCTTGTGCAGGAGGCAGCCGATCAAGGATTCTCTCTCATCATTGATGTTTCTATCTCTCTTTCCCTCTCCCTTCCTCTCTGAAATCAATAAAAATATATTTTAAAAATAAATAAATAAATAAAATGACATATCTCCAGCCTCAACCTATTCTCTGAGCTCTACATGCATGCATGCCATTGCCTATTGGATATCTCTCCTTGTTGGTCGACATCAATGCCTCAAACTGACCATGTCTAAAACCATCCTCTTGATTCTCACCACTGGCTTCCTTTATAACAAACTACTCCACCCCAGTCTTCATCCTAGGAAATGGCACAGCCATCTATCCACTTTCAAGGACTTAAACTTTGATTTATCATTCCCTCCTCCACATCCAAACCATTTTAGCACAGTCTCTGAAATCCACCCTGAATCTTCTCACTTCTCCTCACTCCTGCTTCTCCCACCTTAGCCCCAGACCCCATCATCCTGAATACCAACCCCTGGCAATGGCCTCCTGCCCAATCAGTCTCCATGCTTCTACTCTTGCCCCATGACCGGCTCTCCCCAAACTGCAGGTAGAACCATCTTTTACAAATCCAAATGAAATCATGTCCCTTTCCTGCTTAGAACCCTACAATGTCTTCATAGCACATTCAGAATAAAATCCAATCAACTTACTGTACACTGCAAGGCCCCTGGATCCCCCTCCTTCTGTCCTCCCTCCTGCTCACTATGCTCCAGACGCACAGACATTCTTGCTGATCCTTACACATGCCAAGCACATTCCCAAGCTTATGCTCACTGTTCCCTTGACCTTGCACTCTCTTTCCCCAAAGAAGATCTTGCCATGGCCCTCTCCTCCGACCTTAGTCGGGATTCAGTTCAAATGTAATCTCATCAGAAATGCCTCCCTTTTTTCATCTAAATTCACACGCACCCACCATCTCCTTCTATTGTGACCTACTTTATTTTCTTCAAAGCATTTATCCCTCTGAAATCATATTATTTATCTGATTATTTGTGTAAATGTTTATTATGTTTATTCTCTACTACATTATAAGCCCTAAGAGGGCAGGATTGTTTTCTTCTTGCTTATGACTGAGTCCTCGATACACAGAACAGTGCGTGCCATGTCAATCAATAAACACTTATTGAATGAACAAATAAACAAAACAATGAGAATTAAAATATCCATGCAGGACAGGGCAACAATTTGGGAATACCAAGAAATGGCACACAGTTAATAAATAGACCCCCCCTGAACAATTGGTTTATCTCATTTGTGAAAGAACCCTTCATACTTAAGTGTGTGAACTATATTATATAGTAAACAAGCACTTGTTTTCTTATATTTTAAAATTTCTTTGCAGCAGATAATTCTTTTAAAATGCTGTCTCTGTGACAATACCATTATAGGCATTAAAACAGCCACTGGGCCCTGGCTGGTTTGGCTCACTGGATGGAGCATCAGCCTGGGACTGAAGGGTCCTAGGTTCGATTCCGGTCAAGGGCATGTACCTTGGTTGCAGGTACATCCCCAGTGGGGGGTGTGCAGGAGGCAGCTGATCGATGTTTCTCTCTCATTGATGTTTCTAACTCTCTATCCCTCTCCCTTCCTCTCTGTAAAAAATCAATAAAATATAAAAAATAAATAAATAAATAAATAAAAAATAAAAGACAATGAAAATTTTATATATATATATATATATATATATATATATATATATATATATATATATGCCTAAGAGACCGTTCGACCATTCAACCATTCAACTGGTAGCTATAACGTGCACTGACCACCAGGGGACAGATGCTCAATGCACAGGCATGGAACTATGGAACAGACTGATGAATCTCAGAGGGAAGGGGAAAGGGGGAGGGTGGGAAAAGATTAATCAAAAATCTTATATGCATACTAGAGGCCTGGGGCACGGGTTTGTGCACCAGTGGGGTTCCTCGGCTTGGCCTGCAGGGACTGGGCTGAACTGGCAGTCCTACATCCCCCAAGGGGTCCCAGATTTCGAAAGGATGGATTGCGAAAGGATGAAGGCCAGGATGAAGGACCCCATTGATGCACAAATCTGTGCACAGGGCCTCTAGTAGTGGTAATAATTCAGTACTTTTAGATTTAATCTAGAGACACACTAGTTATCTTATCTCTTTACTGACACATATAGATAAATTGACAGGGTTTTTAATACTATTTAAAAGCACAATTTGATGGAAATTAACTGATCAATGTTGAGCTAGGTAGTTAATATATAATCCAATGTGTACAGTCTAAAACATATGTTTAAAATAAATCATTGGGTTTTATAAAGTTTTTACATGGTACCAAGTATAATTTTAACTCCACAAATAGAAGAGTATAACTTAAGAAGTTTAAATGAGCTCTAATTATTCTTATCCTACATACTTCCAGAATATACATACTTTACCAGGGGATTCTATGTAGAGTAATAAAAGCAGAAAAGGGAAGCATGTTAATGTCATTTCATACAACCCCATAAACCTTTCAAACAAATGGGAGGACAGGCTTCCAACATACCTTCAGAAAGACTTGGTTTTGAATCATGTTTGGGCCGCTCATCACAGGGATGAAAGTTCAGTTGCTGTAAGACTGCTGGACAGATGACAGAGAAGTTTGAGCTGGTGATCTGCGTAGCATTTGAAAAGCCATGAAGGGAAAAGATCTCTTCAGCTGACAAACACTGAAATAGAAGAACCAAAGTAAACATATACATGTTAATACAGTAAAAGCACTCATGCAAAGACACTATGAAGAGACACAGAATATTTCTTCTAGACACATAGCACTAACTCTTTATACAAAAGCCCACTCCAGAAATGTATAGACCCCTAAAATTGTAAAATAGCCCACACCTCTTTTAACCTAGAAACCATAAAAATAGCAAAAACCTTCTTGATTAACAGTCTACCTATAGAAAGGCGAGAACTGGTTTGGAGGTTTCCAAGTACTTTAAGACAAAAGGGCTTTAAGATGATTCAATATTCTCAATGTTCCCTCTCTGCTCATCTTCAGCTTGAATGCGTATTTTGTGTGAGCTATTGGAGTGGCTCTCTATAACATATCCTGTAGACAAACACCAGGCTCACTTACAGTTTCACAATTAAAAGAGTATCCATCCTCCTAAACAGCAATAAAAGCCTCATCATATAAAAGTTGTTTTAAAATATGTCTTTAGTACAAATGGTTGTTTGCTAAAACATGTATTTTGCTCAATGATGGTGGATAGCTTTTTTATTTTATATAAAGTTTTGAAATAGTGATGTGCTGTTTAGAAATTCATTAACTATTAATGAGAAATAGAACCTTCATTAGAAAAGAATTCGCTGCAAAAAAATAATAACTTTTTAAAGGTATCATTTTACCCTTGGGCAAAATTTAACTGTAAACTATTTTCCATATACTCACATTATTAAGAAGAATATAAAAGAAATTAAATGTGTTCCTATTGCTAATAAGTGTTATAAGAATTATAGTGTGAAAACATCTATTCACTCAAATAGAAGAGTCTGTTTTTAATAAGTGCAACTGAGAGCATTTCTTTGCATACTTCAGCCAATATTTAAACCCTGCTGAGATCTTAACTTTGTAAAATGGACTGGATTGAATCCTCCTAGATTTCATATAATGAAGCCCTATCTTCCAATGTAGAGATTTTTGGAGGTAATTAGGGTTAGCTGAAGTCATGAGGGTGAGGCCCTGCTCCAATCATATTAGTAGACTTATATAAAGTCACAGAGAGAGGATGTAGCAAGAAAGTAGTCATCTACAATCCAAGTAGAGAGCTCTAAACAGAAACCAATCCTCTGTCACCTCTAATAGTCTCCAGAACTGTGCGAAAATAAACTTCTGTTATTTAAGCCACCCAGTTGATAGTATTTTGTTATAGCAACCTATGCTGACTAATACACTATGATTGATATTGAGAACTCAAAAGTCTTTGTTAAGTGTTTGACCATATGTGCTGTAACTCTATTCACAGAAGGAACAATGAAACTAAAACTGTAAAATTTTTATGAAAGGAGATCACTACTGATTTTGAAGGAAAGATGAAAAACATCAAATACACCAAGATGTTTGGAGTGATCAAAAGCTAAGAGTACAATTGCCTTAAAGAAAATACACATTTAGACCTCTCTTTTTTTAATGTCTAAGTATATGCCTACAGCTGTTTCTTACTCAACTCATGCTCTCCTTTGGGTTCATGACAATGATAGCTGTGTGCCATCCCTAGGAGAGGAGACAGTACACTCAGCGCTTTAACAATCTTCCCTGTGAGAATGGGGGATAATAAACTAATGAAGGGAGAAAATAGCTTGATAGCCAACTGGGGGAGGGAAAGTGAGTATAGTCTATTCATTACCATGAAACTACACAGAAGCATAATTGCTAGGCTCAAAAATTACAGAGTCCATGAGTTCCAACTGCCCACTGCATGATTCCAGGAATAAATAGGTGTAGTAGGACAAACACAAAGCAGCACTGTGTCCCTGCAAGGAAGTCTTCACCTACCTGGACTTCAGGTTCCTCCAACTATAAAATAAGAGGAAAGGGGGAAGCTGGCAATAGGTCATTTCCAAAGCCTTCTCGGAATTAATATTCTAAGGTGTCCTAAAGCTTAATGACTGTTAAGCAGTTCTTTTCAGACTCCTATTGTGACCTGTTAGTGGGTCAGGAAGTTCACTTACAGTCAGCATTTTATAAGGAAGTAAAAAAAACAACATAATAGAAACTATAGAGTGTACCACACATAACTAGAATAAGTGTTGCTGGATCAATTTTACTTCAGCTATACATTATACATACCATGCACCTGTACATGGGAGCACATGCCAAATTTATTTTCTACCAGCTGTGTGAAAAGGGTAAAGGGATTAAGAAGTACAAATTGGCAGTTACAAAATAGTCATTAGGATGTAAAGTACAACACAGGGAGTATAGTCAATGATATTGTCATAGCTACATACTGTGGTAGGGGAGTACTAGACTTATTAGGGAGATCACTTTGTAAGTTATGTAAATGTATAACCACTTTACTGTACACCTGAAATTAATAAACTATTGAATGTCAACTGTAAATGAAAATCTTTTTTAATTCTTTTAATTTAAAAAAATCATTTTTTACTATAAGGGCAGTCAAATGTTTGAAAAACACTGCCCTTAAGGATTCTCAAATTGCCTGTTGTACATCCTTAAACACACTCTCCTACATACAGTTAGAATAAAAGATAATCAAAGGAATCTACACTAATAAAAGAGGAAGATGCAAATTGACCATACCTTCGTGACACCCACCAGCCAATCAGGAGTGAGTATGCAAATTAACCCAACAAAGCTGGTGGGTTAATTTGCATACACAGGCACTGAGCGGCCAGGGGTGGGGCAGGATGCTTGCATCGTTGCCATGGCGACAACACAGGCGTTTTGCACCGCCCCAGCCGCTCCGGGCCTCTGGGCAGCATGGGAAGGTGGAAAGGTGGCTCTGGCCAGAGCAAAGGTGGTGCCGGTAGCCAGGGAAAAGAAGGCCCATTCTTGCACAAATCTTCGTGCATCAGGCCTCTAGTAAATAATACTGTAAGTTAGCTTAGAGTTTTGATGATCTTTGCAGCATCTGTGTGGATATTTTGGTTGGCAAGCACTCATAGATAATAACACTGACAGTGGCAAATGCTCAATCTCAAAAAAGAGTAAGTAGGTGGAGAGATGACAGAACTTTAGATCTTCCCTTATGTTATGAGAATGGGATAGAATATTAAAGGATACTATCAGTATGGCAAAATAAAAATAATGGCAGCCCTGATTTATTCAAAATAGCTATATACCAGCAAGTAAAATGCAAATAACTTTATACAGCAGCCTAATTTGGCTTTAAATAACTTTGATTTTATTTCTTTTTTATTTATTTTTATCTTTTGACTCCCTTTACCTATTTCTCCCACTCTCTACCTCCCACCTCTGCTAACACAGATCTGCTCTCTATATCTGTGAGGTTGGTTTTGTTTTGTTTGTTTTATATTCTACATATAAGAGAGATCATATGGTATTTGTCTTTTCCTGACTTATTTCACTTAGCATAATGTAGTCAAGATCTACCCATGTTATCACAAATGGTATGATTTCTGTCTTCTTTATGGCTGAGTAATATTCCACTGTATATATGTACCACCTCATTTTTCTCCATTCATCCATCAGTGGACACTCAGGTTGCTTCCCTGTCTTGGCAATTGTACTAGTAAACAATGCTGTAATGAACATGAGGGCACATATATCTTTGTGAGTTAGTGTTTTTGTTTTCTTCGGATAAATATCCAGAAATAGAATTGCTGAATATATGGTAGTTCTATTTTTTATTTTTTGAGGAACCTTCATACTCTTTCCATAGTGGCTGCACCAATTTACATTACCACCAACAGTGCACAGGGTTCCTTTACTCCACATCCTCACCAACATTTGTTATTTCTTGTCTTTCTGATAATAGCCACTATGTGAGGTGATATCTCATTGTGGTTTTGATTTGCATTTCCTGATGATTAATGATGTGAACAACTTTTCTTGTGCCTGTTAGCCATCTGTGTGTCTTCTCCAGAAAATGTCTAGTCACGTCTTCTGCACATTTTTTAATCAAACTGTTTGGTGGTTTCCTTTGCTGTGCAGAAGCTTTTGGGTTTGATGTGTCCCCTTTTTTTCTATTGTTACTTTTGCTTTTAGTGTCAGATTCAAAAATTGTTGCCAAGACCTATGTCAAGGAGCTTACTACCTAGGTTTTCTTCTAGGAGTTTTATGGTTTCCGCTCTTAACATTCAAATATTAAATCCATTCTGAGTTAATTTAGGGGTATGGTGTAAGATAGTGGTCAAGTTTCATTCTTTTGCATGTAGCTGAGCAGTTTTCCAAACACCATTTATTAAAGAGTGTCCTTTCCCCATTGTATATTCTTGGCTCCATTATTATAAATTAGTTGACCATATATGCATGGTTTCATTTCTGGGCTTTCTATTCTGTTCCATTGACCTCTGTGTCTGTCTTTATGCCAATGCCACACTGTATTTAATTATTACAGCTTTGTCATATAGTCTAAAGACAGGAATGTGATGCCTCCAGCTTTGTTCTTTCTCAAAATTGTTTTGGCTATTCAGGGTTTGTTTTGTGGTTCTCTACAAATTTTAGGATTAGATTTATATTTTTGTAAAAATGACATTGGCATTTTAATAGGAAGTGTATTGAATCTATAGATTGCTTTGGGTAGGAAGAACATTTTAACAATATTGATTCTTCCAATCCATAAGCACAGGATATCTTGCATTTATTTGTGTTTTCTTCAATTTCTTTCATTAATATCTTTTAGTTTTAAATATATAGGTCTTTCCCCTCTTTTATTAAATTTATCCCTAAGTATTTTATTCTTTTTAATGCAATTGTAAATAGAATTATTATCTTAATTTCTCTCTTTGATAGTTTGTTATTAGTGTGCAGAAATGCAACAGATTTTGTGTATTGATTTTTATTATGCTTTGATTTAACCAAGTTGAACTTGAAACAAAGAAAGCAGTTGTCTAAGAAAGGGCAGTGTTGCCCTGACTGGTTTGGCTCAGTGGTTGGCCTGTGGTCCGAAGGGTCACCGGTTCAATTCCTGATCAAGGGTACCTACCTCGGTTGCATGCTCTACCCTTGGCCCCAGTCGGG